ATGCTGGCCGGCGGCGGCGGCTCCCTGAAGGGCCAGTCCGGCGGTGGCAGCATCGGGCCCGGGTCCAAGCACAAGCCGAACGTCGGCTACCGGCTCGGCAGACGGAAGGCCCTCTTCGAGAAGCGCAAACGCATCAGCGACTATGCCCTCGTCATGGGCATGTTCGGCATCATCATGATGGTCGTCGAAAACGAACTGTCCAGCGCCGGTGTTTACAGCAAGGTAAGCCTCACAATCCATGCCCTGTTAGTTGTTCCTCCGAAGATACTTTGCTTGACAGTTTCGCGCGCGCGCGAGAGAGAGAGAGAGAGAGAGAGAGAGAGAGAGAGAGAGAGAGAGAGAGAGAGAAGTTAAGCAACGTAAACCGCACGGATAAGAGTTAAGCTCTTGAGACGATCGCAGATCCCGCGTGGCAATATAAATATAGTCGATTTTCCTTCTTGACTTTCCCAACATCTCGTTGATCCGATTTTCTAACTTATATAATACGGCGCAATTACAAGACTAGGGATAAATCTCTTATCTCTTGCTTAAGTCTTTGGGGCTAAGTTTCTGTAAACTTAGGACGCGCGATTGAAGTTTCGGGATGATAATGTAGAAAAGCGAGAATGATTAATATCGGTTGACATCATTTTCCGATGGAAGCGTATTCGATCAATTTTATTTCGTTCCTGTTGTATATTATGTGTCACGTGTCTCGTGAACCTTCGGAATATAATTAACGCAAGGTTTTCCAAGCGATAGTGACGCGTATCTTCGCGACTTGTATCTTATACATCAAGCGTCCAATTAACTCGCACGTGACCCGCTAATGGACTAATCAAACTTTCGCCGGGACTCTCATAAATACGCCTTAGCTGGATCGTACGTAGAGTAAACTCATCGACGATTCAGAAGTTAAACACCCGGGAGTCACAATCTTGGGAACTCCCCTGGTTCCAATTTACAAAACATCGCAAACATGGCCATTGTTTGAATAATTTGTAATAAACTTAACACCAGTAGACAGAAAGAGTGAGAATCCGCGTGGTTGAATTCAATAATCCAATTAACGAAGCAGTTTTTGAAAAGTACGTGTTGAATTCTCGACAATTCTACCAGTTTTATATATTTATGTAAAGTTTTTATTATAAATTTCGAAAGGTCTAAATATTCGATTGTTAGAAATGAATTGTTGCCGTAAAGTTAATATTTCGATTGATTGAAGAATAAATTTTTCTCTTGTAAAATTCTCAATAAACTGCGGAGTATAACACGTTGTGGAAACTAAAATTGATGAATGATAGATCGTTGATTGTTTGAAATAAATTATTGTGTTACTCGTAGAGTTAATATTTCGACGGAATGAAGAATAAATCTTCTTCTTTTAAAATTCAGAAAGTTGCGATGAACCACAAATTGCAGAACATGCACTTCGTAGAATCTAAAATTGATAAATCGGATTAAGAATATATTTTCCTCTTACAAAATTCAGAAAACGAATTTTTCGCTAAACTACAAATTGCAGAATACAGCACTTGTAGAATCTAAAATTGGTAAATAATACATAATTGTAGTACATTATTGTGTTATTCATGCATTCCAAAAAATATCGTTGTGAATTTAACACCATACGGTTCATATAATGTTCATATAATTTCTACCGTGTTGATTAATGTGTTCGGTATTGTGTGGAATTAACATGGATTTTATATAATGATGTTTATATCAACATCACATGGGATATCGATGTTAATATTAACATTAACGTAATGAAAATTATATGAACACTGCATGAAGTTCAACCTACACTAATGTTGTTTAAAATGTATAATTTATAGTCAATATTTTGATGGATTGAAAAATAAATATTTCTTTTATAAATCTAATTAAATAAGAGAAGTCCTACATTTCTTTTAGAAAATTTTCAATAACTTACAAATTGCAAAACACATACGTTTTAATTAATGAATCATTAGATTCAGAATTTTAGATTCCATAAAACGTATATGTTTGAAATGACTAATGAATTATTACTGATGAAATTAATACTTCGACCGAATGAGACATAAATTTCTCTCTTATACAATTTAAACTAAAATTTTCGATAAACTACAAGTTACAGAATATAACACTTCGTGGAATCTAAAATTGAATAACGAATTGCGTTAATTGTTTGAAGTGAATTATTACTCATTAAATTAATATTCATTATATAAAGGATAAATTTTACTATTATAAAATTAAAAAACTTAAATTCTCGAGAAACTACAAATTATAAAACATTTCGTGTAATCTAAAAGTGGAGACAAAGTATGTACAAAGATAGTAAAATATATTCTGCAGCAAAATACAAATTATAGTCATATATTTCATTTATCGCAATTTATACATTCTGCATATTTTACGTCATCATTGAATAATAATTAGTCAACATTCGCGCAACAGTTGTACCGTCATAATGCGACGGTAAATACCGGTGAACGTGAGGAATGATTCTTGCAGGACACCATGTATACACAGCTAGCAACATTTTAGCAAGTTGGTCGACATTGAAGTACCTATAAATACTGGTCACAGTTTGCACATTCTGCTTATCGCAGTCTATCTTTGCAGGATTCTCTGAATAAATTACTAGTGACTGATAAATGATAAAGGTACACAATCGCGAGAAGGCCAAGGGAAGATTGAGACGGTTCACTGAATATTTATCATCGGTTGGGATGCTCCGCGGCGAAACGTTAATTCATTCGCCATCGATCAGAGCCCTCGAAACCGCGTGAAAAGTGCAGAGTGATGTAGCCACGTTAATATTACAGAGGTTGGTTTGCCCCGAAAAGGGCAAGTAGGATTTTATGCTTCAAGGAATTTCCGTTCTCTCAAGAATTCAATGCGTCGCGTCCATTTATTTTTACTGCAGCTTCTTTCTCTGTAATATTGAGTGATTAACATCATGCTGACTAAAGTGCTGAGACTGGCTTGAAAGATATTCTTCTCTTATAAAGCTGCAAAAGCTACAATTTTCGAAGAATTGCAAATCATGAAATACAGTTCTTCGCAGAATCTAAAGACATATGTTGAATTACTAGAAAAAAAAAATTTTAAGAAGGCTTTCTAGCAATCTGAAGATTTTAATTAAGTTTTCCTTAGAAAAAAATAGAATTTTAAGAAATCAAGGCTTTCTAAAAATCTGAAGCTTTCATTTAAGCTTTTCCTTATTATACGCCTATATAGTGAGTTGCCATTTCTCGCTAGACTTTTAAATTTCCACAAAAAAATAATGCTGATTCTTAGAGAAAAACCGCTTTGTAAGCGTATCATGTATCTGAGAAAACAAAATTTCCGAAATATTTCTTACGGAGTAAGAAGTGCAGTGCCGCCAATAGTTGTTGGTTTCAGTTTTGAAGAGCTTCGTGCTTGAACGCGCACGCGACGTGAAATGAGGAACTTGACGTCTGCAAATGTATACACGACACCAGCATTTGCCGCTGCTTCGAACAATCCTTGCAGAATGTAGATCGGTTCCAACCCATCTCCCCCCCCCCCCCCCCCCCCCCCCCCGCGTATCGTTATCCTTTCATGTTCTACCACCCGAAGTCAGCGTTTCACGAGGCGAGAGTAGAATCAATGCCGTCGGGGTGTTCACGCTGTCACGGATAACAATTCTTTTCTTGTACGGACAAGGTCCGCCACATGAATCTCAATAATGGATCTTCATGTTCGTGAACATTGAGTTCAAAAACTCAAAGATTGAAGAGATATCCGCCCGGAGTCAACGAAGCTCCGTAAAAACGAATAATCCCAAAACACATTAATATACACTGAGAGAAAACACGGTAATGTCAACTATAAAACTATTGCAAGTTTTATGTTTTATAAAATTAATGTAATAAATTATGTAATAGTTGAATGAACTATAAAGTAATTTATTTGACTATATATGTACATTAATTCTACATATAACACTTGTGTGGTTGTCATTTTTGTAGCTGCTATTACATCTATTTTTCTGAATTTAAAAAAGGATTTTTTAAAAAAAGATAACCATAAAAATAGATAAATTATAAATAGTTTTATAATTACTTTTTCTCGTTTTCTTGTTTTTTTTCTTAACCTAAAATAATGCAGATGAAGATAAATTGCGTTTTTCTGCGCGTTGAGTATAAAATTAAGTTTAAACAAAGTAAAATCTCTCAAAAAAAGTTAGAACTTTTAAACTTATGAAGAAAATTCTCTGCAAAAAAATTACGATAGATTAAAAATATTACTTTCAGCAAAATATGTTACTTTTCCTTTGTGTTTCTATACTAAAAGAAAATCTTTTCATTTCTGTAACTATAATTACATATTACTATTATGGTTGTTACTTATTACTGCAAAATATGGTTGGCCCAAAAAATGATGATAAGTGATAATTAAAAATTATAGTAATTGCAATCATTTTTATAATTACAATAATTGTAATCGTTTTCGGGAATAATATATAAGTAGTTATTATTAACATTTCTACAGTATACTTTGTCCGACATCCTGCACTAAGAAAAATGAGTTTGTTACAACAAAAAAAGGGATAATAAATGTGATGATTTGATAGAAAAACCAGAAAAAGATCAATCGAGTTATTATTAGTTCTTCCACTTCCTTACCTTCTTTTCGTTCTATTACTGCTAAATTTATAGCAATAAGTGACTATTAACTCATTAAATGATTGTACAATATCGTTCGAATTGTTCTTATCATTATTATTAACTTATTAATGCACTTGTAATCGTCTCTGTGTGCACTGTGGCGGCTGCATTTGCTGGGGTCTCGCTATTTACGTATTTACGCATTGATGCATTTATACTTGTATATATTTATTCATCTCTCATTATTTTATTTTATATATGGTAAGTTATGTAATTCGTATTGTTAAACAACTATATACTATTCATATACTATTATATCTTCGTAATTTGTTTCATTTTCTGGACGTCTAGCAACAGTAATTTCGGTGGTGCCTTTCCATTTGTGTACTTATAATATATACTTGGCATACTACAAACGTAATTCTTTTATACAATAAATTTAATTAAATTAAATAACTTCTCATTATTCGTTAATGTATAATAACAAATAATATATCATTTATGATTTTGATACAAATCAAAATAATCAGTATTGCTAGTATTAAATAAAAATCTATCAAAAAATAGGTTAGGTTTTACATAAATTGCTTTTATTATTAATAATTAGTTGAAATA